TCCCCCCCCCCCCAGTCCGACCCACCCTTCGGATGTTTAAATGAGGATGAGTTATTATGAATTTAAATAGTGTATATTTGAATGGGTTAAATGGAGGCGCTAACTGTTACTCCCGGTATCATCATTAGTAAATAGAGTGAGGAAGTTGAACTATGTTGATGTATAGTTCAACCACTTCTCATCTGTGTCGAATCAATTTATTACGAACAAAATGATAGCTTATTTTTTTCTCTAGAAGTTCAGTTTTTCAAATTATAAAAAGGAGAATATTACTTTAAATTCTTCTTCACTCTATATACAGTATCGTACTCAGTTTAAGGTTTCAAGGTTTAAAATTAATATTTTATTAAAATTGAATTTTAAGAATATATTTAAAACAAAACAAAGCAATCAGACACCCAAACAAACAGTTTGTATTAGAAATAATTTGACAACCTTTTTTTTATTTATAGATCATTATCTTTATAAATTTGTATTAAATTTATTTTGAGCAATTTTGGAAAAACTAAATATTTATGCACTTTACACACATATTCATTTCGTATACATCCTTTTTTATAAATCATTAAAAGCAGAAAGAAAATCAGAAAGATATGAATTCGAAAAAAAGAAACAAAGAAAACGTTAAATCTTTGATACGAATGAGCAATTTTTAGAAAGAATTCTTGAAAATTCGAATTCCACTTTTTCCCTTTTTTGAGCAGTTATCCTTGCAGCATTGCCACAAACTCTAAATAACAGTTACTATTATTGTCATTAAATCTAATTATTATTACATATACTTTTGTTATAATGATCATGATAATTGTTATTATTATTGATATTAAATCTAATCATTATTACTATACTTTTGTTATGATTATCATGATTATTGGTGTTATTATTGATATTAAATAATCATTATTACTATACTTTTGTTATAATTATCATGATTATTGGTATTATTATTGATATTAAATAATCATTATTACTATACAATTGTTATAATTATCATGATTATTGGTATTATTATTAATATATAATAATAATTATTACTATACTATTATTATAATAATCATTTTTACTATTATATTGCTTATTATTATTATCAATACAATAATTATATCTTCTATCCTTTTTTGTTATCTTTATTATAACTGAATCATTTTCAATATTTCTTTTATCATAATAATTATTTTGTTTACCGGCATAATTGATAAAGTTTAAACTTTTATCCTCTTCTCTATTTTCTCCTGTGAACGTAAAGTATTCTAAAAATAGAAAAAATGTCACATTATCGACTTCAAAAAAAACTAAAAAGAAATTGAAAATGTGTAATAACTATTTATAACACTGTTTTTGGTTCGCAGTGTTATAAAGTTTTTGGACAGAAATTTTCTCTTTGGATTTAATTTTCATTTCAATTGAAAAAACATATTTTGGAAATATCCTAATTTTTTTGGAGAAAATCCGGGAACCAATCAAAATTTTATAGCACACGTGCTATAATGTACAGCTATTTTAACATTATTAACATTATAGCACGATGATTACTTTAAAGGACGTTTTTAATGAAATTCACGATCAAGTGAGGAAGTATGATAAAGTATACTTTAGTTTCATAAAACATATGATGCTAAAAATTTCGATCAAAAAAAAATATTAAAGAGTTTTTAACTTAAATGCTAGCAAAAAAAAATGTTATTAAAATGAAAATTATATTTGAAATATTAATTTCAGAATATTCTGAATTCATTAAAAGAGATGAAAATGTCTTTGATCTATATAACCAAGGATTTCATGTGAAAGACTTGAAATTTATCTTAAATTTACACCCCCCACCCCTTCCCCCTCCCGACCCTTTTTTCTACCAATAATCAATTTTTTATTCAAATTTTGACATCATTACTGGAAGCGAAAGCCATATAACGTACGTATTCGAAATAATAAATAATCAAAAAGAAACTAAGTTTTAGAAACAAACTAAAATTTTCTAATCACATTATTTTATGCTTTGAAAAAAAATATTTAACATCAAAGGCATTCCTAAATTTTAAACTTGAAAAGATGTCCAAATCGTAAATATTGGTCCAAAATTAATTGAGGCCCTAGCTACCACTCTATTGTTTTTTTTAGGACACCCTGTAGACTGTAGAGAGTAGTAGATATTTGGAATTTAGCAAGAATGATTTATTGTATCAACCACTGTGCTTTAAAGGTCTCAAGCTCCCAAGCAATGATCGATTTTGCCAATTACTTCTTGAAACCCATAGCTAACAACATGTGTGCTAACAATTATACATGTAAAGAGCTTCAGAAAAGCATTTGTGAGTTACCGCGCTTAAAATTAAAGCCCAAGGTGTTGTGACACTTCAAAGTCGATTCTGTCTTAAAAATTGATTATCGTTTTTATAGCAGGCTGAATCTTTGTGACACTTTTTCCTAAAATTGTAATAGGTGAACAATGAATAAAAGGTTATAATGCAAGGAAAGTTACTTTAGAGGTACACTCGTATTTTGTACTGCAGTGTACTGTCTCTGGGCGGTAATGTAAACACAAAACGGATGTCACAGCCTGACATGGGATCCATCTTTCACATAAAAAATCAATGAAATATTTTTGTCGCATGAAACTATTATGTGAACTTTCAAAATTCAATGCTTTTATCCTCCTCGGATACTAAATTAACACTGATGTATCTTTTCTTGTTTATAAATTCCACCCAGAGAGACTTATTTCAACATGTTCGCAGAGTATATGCAACTGCAATTAACTTTCCTTGCATTATAACCTTGAATAAATATGAGTTTAAAGCGTTGAATATTAGGGATATCTCAGTCAATTTAGTGTTGACCTCCATAACTTGTGTTTACCTTGAATCATGAGATCCACCTCATCAGGTTCAAGACCCTGTTGTCCTTTCATTATCTGCCTAAAATTGAGAAAAAAATGTTAATTTAAAAAATTATTTTGGTCTTCTTAAAAATATGTTTAGAAGTTAAATAAGCAGGAATAGGTTAGGATAAGTTTAGGTAAGAATTCAACATTTAAAAAAGCAACTACCAAAAACATAACTAACTAACATAACTATTTTTATTTCCTTATTTAGACCTTATATTTAATTATCAAACTTTGAATTGTACAGGATGAAATAAGCTTGAAATATCAAGGGGTTTAATAATTAGGTTGCAAAGATATAGTTTAGTTCATTTTCCGAACTTATATTACAGAAGAACCAATTGTTTGCATAAATATATACTTCAATATATATTTAGAGAAAGATAGACACGACCCAACTGAAGGCATATCATCGAACTACATGTTAATTTTTGTCAAAAATAGTTTTCAGCATGTTTGACGTACTTTTAGAAGGCTTTTTAATAACCTTCTTAACACCCTAACCATTAAAAGTCTAATTTTAAATTAGTTGGTGGGTTATAGTTGGTAGTGACATGTTTCACACTTTCCTATCTCAACTCTAAGGGTATAATCGTAAGAGAGTTGGGGGTAAACACCCCACCCTCTAAATTAGACGAAAAGAGCCCAATTGGGATAGGGTTAAAATTTGGGGAAGTGAAATTTATTCTCTGATTTTTACTTACTGTAACTTTTGGAAACTACAACTATTGTCTTTTATCATAAGAAAAGGCAAACCGAACGAAATGGATGGAAAATAAACGAAATTTTTAAGAACGAACAAAATTAATTTTTTAAACGATTGAAAAAAAACGAAATAGACCGTTCACAAATGATGAACAACCGAAATGAGAAAAATCGAACGTGTCAATCTTTACCAACCTAATTGATAAAAAAAAACTCTTTAAAACTCTCCAACCTGAACTTTATCTCTTGAATGCGTCCATCGTCTCCGTCGTCAAAAGTTCTGTAAAATCAAGAAGCTCAAGAAAAATTAACATTTGGTTATTTTTTATTACTTTTATACCTTTATTATTACCAAACAAAATGATTTCTTGTCCAAATTTAAATTTTCTTATTCTTACATCTCTACAACATGATGTCGTAGACCTTTGATATTTTAACCCGTAAATTTTTCTAGGTCTAAAGTTAGTTTTTGGTTTACAGTTTCCACGATGTATAATTGCTGAGTTGGAGCGCAAAATTGACGTTTAATCGTGAATTTGGGTGGGTGAATTAGAATCGTTTTTTATTAATATTCAAATAATGACGTCAAAAAATATAGTAAAAATTCTATAGTATACTAATTAGATGTTTAGGGACATATTTCTCAAAAGAAATTTGTCAATAAATCGAAGTTAGAGTTAATTATTTCCTTTTTCATCATTATATTGAATTTCTTATTTTCTATGAATTTGTTTGCAGATTTCTTCAAATGTCGTCTTTTTAATAAAAGTTGCAGAAAATCTGCAGAAAATCTTTGTGATTAAAGAGAGATAATAGAAAATAATAATTGAATAAGATTACTTATTTTCAATGATAAGAGTTAATTTTTATTTTCACAACCTGTTCCTAAAAAACTAATTAGTTTACTGTAGAATTTTGTTTACATTTTTTGTCGTCGATATTTGATAATAAATAAAATAAAAATCTGAAAACGTATCCACCCAAATCGATGATTTTGAACGTCGGCTTTGCGCTCTAACTCAGGGTTTACAGATCTTTAAAAAGTTTTATATGTCTCCAATGAATCCTAAATAATTTGTCCACAACACTGCATACTCAGTTTAGCTACCTTGTATAGACCTTTAAGTTAAATTTTAAATCAAAAGTTAAAAAGTTAAATTAATATCTTTACATGAGTTAGAAATTGTTTAATTAACTTTAAAACTCTAATTTTGTAATCTTCGCTAATTTGAAAATATATTTGTAAAATTAGATCTAAATATTTCAAAATTTGATCTAGCAAAACTTCCTCTTTTGAAAAATCAGAAGTCACTAAAATAAGTCGCAGAGAAAAACAAAATTAGAGTTTGAGGCAAGTTTGTCGCTGACTTTTTACCACCTTAATTTTTTATACAAAGCAATATCAAATTAAATTAGAATCTCTTTTAATCTTAAAACATGAATATTTATTGTAAGCTCTTAACCCTATTCCTGCTGGGGGGGGGGGCAATTTGACCCCCCCCCACCCGTAGTTTTTTTACATAACTCAAAAAGTATTGGTCTGAGGCTGTTGTCATTTTCTGACATTTCCTAAATACCCATAGCCCTCCCTTTAGGTCTAAAACCGGGCTTACTGCATGAATGACTACTTTTTCCTGTAACGAACTAAATCTTTGCTTTGACCCACTTTCAGTTGTCGAATTCCGTTAACCTTCAAAAGAAATTTGCACATTTTTAGTTTTTCTTAATTAGACATCATGTTATTTAAAATGTTGCTACATTTTTTGCAAATTTTAAATTGTATGGTCAAGGGCTATCCCTTTTGGAAATCTTTTGCAAACATTTTTACTTTAATTGGATTTTGCAAAACAAATTGAAGTTGTGCAAATTTGCAAATTTTTTTCCAGATTCTATAAGTAGAGTTGATGAGCTTTCCAATGATGTATCATTGTCATATTAAGAGGGATTAAGAGGGGGTCAAATTGACCCCCTCCCCCAGCGTATCCTGGTTTACAAATACCCCATTGCAGGGATAGGGTTAATAAGAAGGTTTTTAATACAAGGGCACAAGGGGGAAATGCCCCTTGATAATTCTAAAGCGTTTCGAATTTAGATTGTTTTTATATGCTCTTAACTTACTTGAAGACCTGCATTAGCGCTTCTTGATTCGGATCCTCTCTGAATTAATTTCTTAAAAGTAAAAATTCTCTGTTTGTGGAAAACTTTTAGATTTTCATCGTTTAAATCTTAATCTAAGAGAGTGTGGAAAAGAGTTTTTCTTGACCAGAGCAAGAGTACGGTGGTAGGCATTTATATCAATATAATGATTTGGAATTTAATTTTGATTTATATCAAGTATTAAAACAGCATGGATAAACAAAAACACGGAAAAAAAGAGAAGCTGTGAATTGAAAATCTTTTCTTTAATTACTTGTAAACTACTTAAAAGTTCCTTCGTTTAATCGAAACCAGAGAAATGAACTCGTTAAAGGAGAGAGAAAATCCAGTTTTATCGATACTCACAGCTCCAACTACATTCTTTATCTAAATTATCAAAAACTATCAAATAAATACATCCAAAATAAACTTTTAAGGTAAATACAGCTTGTTAAAAAAAACCTCCAAATTTTGAAAATAACATTTTTTAAAACTAATTTTTGGTTAGCAAAATCAGATTATTTCATCCTCCTTGTTAATATATACAGCGCTGTGAATCGGTTAGTCACTAAAAATTGCGTGTACAATCCCTTTGACCGGTGTTCCTTTTTGTGTGTACAATCCCTTTAACATGTTTCTCTTTGTGTGTACAATCCCTTTAACCTGTTCCTCTTTGCGTGTACAATCCCTTTAACCTGTTCCTCTTTGCGTGTACAATCCCTTTAACCTGTTCCTCTTTGCGTGTACAATCCCTTTAACCTGTTCCTCTTTGCTTGTACAATCCCTTTAACCTGTTCCTCTTTGCGTGTACAATCCCTTTAACCGGTGTTACTCTTTGTGTGTACAATCCCTTTAACCTGTTCCTCTTTGCTTGTACAATCCCTTTAACCTGTTTCTCTTTGCGTGTACAATCCCTTTAACCGGTGTTCCTCTTTGTGTGTACAATCCTTTAACCTGTTCCTCGTTGCGTGTACAATCCCTTTAACATGTTCCTCTTTGCGTGTGCAATCCTTTTAACATGTTCCTCTTTGAGTGTACAATCCCTTTAACCTGTTCCTCTTTGCGTGTACAATCCCTTTAACATGTTCATCTTTGCGTGTACAATCCCTTTAACATGTTCCTCTTTGCGTTTACAATCCCTTTAACCTGTTCCTCTTTTGATGGGAAACCCAGGCAGTTGAGCATTCTGCATGCTTCTCGGATACTAAGTACTCCGTCCATATCATGGTCAAACAACTAAATAATTGGAAAATATTTATTACTGAACGTATACAGGGGGAGCAGGCAACGTATCAATGCCCCCGCCCCAAGATACTTCTTTGGTCGATGTTTAATAAAATGTTTTTTTTTCAGTGAAATACTAATTATAAAATTTAAGAAAGGATTTATGTCTTTGAACACAAAATAAATGTCGTAAACTCAGATATTTCAAACTTTGCTTCTGTTATATCAATTAATCTAAGTTTATAATATCAAAGTTTCACACCATCATCAGTCAGGTTGCAAAGATAAATGGATTAGAAAATTAGAGTTCGTGCAGGCAAAGACTTAAATCCCTTATCTCTATACCTACCAAATTGAAAGCAGTTTCTTCAAACTTAATTTTACCTGAAAAAGACTTTGAAGATCTTCAAATTCATCTTCAGCTATTCCAAGTTCATCCTTAATCATAAAAAAAAATGAATTTTTATATCAGCTAACTTTACAGAATAACGAGTCCACTCCACACCAAGATGTACAAAGATCCAGACTGCTATGAAAATGTTGAATCAATTCAATTCAATCAAAACCTTTGAACACCTTGGAGTGTAGCACACTAGAAATGTATATTTTAGTACCATAGTTGTTTGCTTGAGTAATTATGAAGAAATTGGCAAGGTTATTATTGGAACTATTAAGATATTAAGAAAAATTCTCAAAATTCTATTTGTCCATAAATTCTCAAGTGAAAGACTTGTTTATTGGAACACCCTGTGTTTATATCACAGAACACTGAAGCACACCTCCAGTATGGAAACAATACAACAAAATGGCTGTTTTACACTTTTTTCGAGTCAGTTCCACTCTATATTAATCTATTCTATTTGGTTTATATCCTACCGTATCAACTCTAAGAATATATTCAGTTTTCTCTTTTTTATTCTTAATCGTTTTCTTCACATGAGGTTCCTCGTCCTACAGAATAAAGAAGCATCAAAATTGCAAGTATAAAAGGAGTTATTGCCAAAAAATAGTGATTTTCCAATTAAAGGGATTCATAATATTTTTGCTTGTTGTTGATAAGGATATATCATCACTATTCTGTACACGAAAATCATGCAAAATTCTTGGAATTCTGATAATCTATTAGAAAGATGAGATGTGTCCTATAATGTACGTCCTGAGCTGGGAACTTTTGAATGGTGGATATTGGGATTAATGCTTGATCTACTCTTTTTCTTAATCTCAAGATTAAATAATGCTTGTACTTCTCTTGATATTAATCTCCCCATTTACTAACCGATCGGGATTTAGGATATCCCATTCTAAAGTTTTCAGCTCAGGTAAAAAACTACAAGTTCCTCGGCCATGGATGGATATTGGATAATATCATCCACGTCAAACTAAACAACTTGTCTGGACCTAAGATTTGAATTTTATATGTTTTTATTTCATGACTTCTCTTATTGAGGAGCTACTGAGAGGAACAAAAGACCTTTCTAATTTGTAAACTGTGACTGGATAAAATACTTTTTACCAACTTCGCTCTAGTTTGCAGTGAATAACAAGATAAATTTTCAACTATTCTAATTTGTAATTTTGTAACCGGATAAAATATATTTGACCAACTTTGTTCTAGTTTGCAGTGAATGAAAAGGTAAATTTTCAACTATTCTAATTTGTAATTACTAATTTTGTAACCGGATAAAATATATTTGACCAACTTTGTTCTAGTTTGCAGTGAATGAAAAGGTAAATTTTCAACTATTCTAATCTAGGTCCATTTAACTCTATACCGATTGGGCTATTTTTGTACAATATATTGGGGGGGGGATGTTTTCCCCTAATGATTTTACCCTTAGAATTGAGATAGGGGAGTGTGATACATGCCCTTAGTCGAGCTAGTCACAGCTTGCTCATTGAAAAAAATTTTTACCTCTATCTGTAATGGATAGGGTGCAAGGGAGGATTTAGAAAAAGTTTTAAGAAATACGTGAGAAAAATTTTCAAAAATAAATATTTTTATCTCAAGAAATATTAACATTTGACACGTGTTATTAAATCCATTTTTCACAAGGGCTTCTAAAATATATAAATTTTAGCCCTAAAGCTTAATTAATAAAAAAACAAGTAACCGGATTTCTACCTTGCATCAAAAAATAAATAAGTATTCAGGCAAAATATTCAAATATGAAGTTAAAAAGTGAAGAAGTTATAGCGTTCAAATGTCAGCCTTTTTAAAGTTATTTAAAATAAAAAAGGGTTGGGTGGAAGACGACATTCTAGTGTCCTAACTGTTATTGTTAAGTAATCTATTCTTAATTACCTTTGGCCTTCCAGCGTGCAAGGCTTCAAAAAGATTACTCGTAGATTTCACAACCTAAAATTTTATTTTATTTTGAAGTTTAAGTTTCTTGTTCATGGTTTTCAACATAAATTAAAAACAATGCAGAAAAACACTGATATCGTCTTGACAAGATTTAAGGGTTTTTCGTTCACAATACCCTTAACGCAGAAGCCCAAAGGAGCTATGCGCATGCCACGTTAAATTACAAGAAAGTGAGAGATTATGCGTGTAGCTCCTTTGGACTTCTGCCTCGAGCGTTTTTGTGAACAAAAAATCCCGAAATCTTAAAAAGACAACATTTAGTGATCTATCTGTATTGTTAATAATCTATGGTTTTCATAATCAAAGAATATCGATTAAAATTAGAATTAATTTTTTTTTAATCGTACACAATGAAAGCAGGAAGCTATTGAATAGGATGACCACTTTAAATGATTAATTTGTTGAAATCTTGAAGTGTTGCATGTTCATTGGACTATTTAAAATCAAAATTTGAGGCTATTTTGCGGATTTTTCCAATTTTATCGGTGACTTTCAACAAGACTTTGACCGAAATTTGTTTATGCAATTCAGACCAGCCAAAAACATTTCCTTTCGTCTTGTCAAATACCATAAAAACGGCTGAACAGATTGGTTCAGCCGTGTGTTTGCGTTTATTAGATATACAAAATATGACACACTAAAAAAATAAACATATAAATGGAGTTTGCATTTGAAAAAATGTCAACTTATTCATACCTTTGTTTTATTGTCGTCTTCGTTAGGAGATTTAATGTCGTCGTTGCTGTCCTCCCGTTCCAATTCATCCTTACTATCATCTCTCCCTATATTCTAGAATAAACAAATATTTAAAATAATTTTGGGTAAACTCTCATAGAACAAATAGACTTCCAAAAAAGGAAAAGAATTCATAAGATTACTGCAGGGAATGTGTTCCCTGTTATTTCTAATAATATATGTGATCCCTGCAGTTTTGAATTTATTTTATTTCCATTACAAGACTATATTTAGGGCAAAATTTTTAGATTAAAGAGTTTCAGGTCTTCATTTAAGTATCATTATTTTATGTGTAAACTATAATAAAATATTTTGTATAAATAGCATGTGCAGTGATGTGTATGTCTATTTTGATAAATATTTTCCGAAATAGAAAATAAAACTTTTTATAAAAAAAAAAAAATTTAAAATGTTTTTACTTTTAATTAGTTGTGAAAGGGGGAAGTAAATCTCATTGGCAAAAAATATTCATATTCACAAATAAGAGTTTGCAATTCAGAGCTGAAAACTTTAGAATGAGATATCCTTAATCCCTTTTACTTAATATGAGTATCCAATGGACACACTTTTGATTTTCTTCTTAAACCGTTCATTCTTGGATATAGCAAAGAAAAATCAAAAACCGGGTTTTTTTTTTAATTTAGAGAGTTCCTCCCGTTTCTGTATATAATCTTAAATGACACGCAAAATTTCAAATTTATCGGCCTCATATACGTGACTCTGATTGGTTTAATTTTTTACACATTTCAGGATACAAGTATGCAAGATTAGGTTAGTCTCGATATCAAGAAAAAGAGAGGATCAAGCATCAATCTCAATATCCACCATTCTAAAGTTTTCAGCTCTGTTTTTCATTATGTGTAACCTTAAAAGACACAACGGATTTTTCTCCCTCATTTTTCTCCATTTTGTTTAAAGTTTTATCTGAAAAGCTTCAAACTTTTTCTTTTTTCTGGAGAATAGGCCGAACCTGTAATCTGTACTGAACTATACCTGGAGAATAGGTCGAACCTGTAGTCTGTACTGAACTATACCTGGAGAATAGGTCGAGCCTGTAGTCTGTACTGAACTATACCTGGAGAATAGGCCGAACCTGTAGTCTGGAGAATAGGCCGAACCTGTAGTCTGTACTGAACTATACCTGGAGAATAGGCCGAACCTGTAGTCTGTACTGAACTATACCTGGAGAATAGGCCAAACCTGTAGTCTGTACTGAACTATACCTGGAGAATAGGTCGAACCTGTAATCTGTACTATATCTTATCCAAACTTTCGCGATCATTTTCCTCACAACAATTGTCATAGAGATCCAGAGAGAGCAACCTTCATAGAGATACAGAGAGCTGAGCTGTGACAATTTGAGATTTTGAATTGTCGCAACTCGCAACCAAGGTCTGTACTCTGTAGTTTAATAAGGTTTCTAGTCTGATATTTACTAGCTCTCTAAATCTTTTATTATAGCTCTAAACAAGTACATTAAAAAACTGCAACGCTATTTTTTTCAGCTTTAGAGGAAATTCTGATAGTATGATAGTGTGAAAGTATAAAATGTCGATATGGATTTTTTAGTCGATTGTTTGATGTTGGCTCCTTTGTCGCCATATATAAATGTTATCAATTTCAAGTTAGAAAAAGAAGGAAGGCTATTGCCTTTTTATATTTAAATGACTTCATTGGAATAACACCATGGCATTTGGTCTTCTTTTTTCTACGCAGTTTTCCTAAATTGATAATAAAAAAAACAGATAAAACCCTTTTTAGCAAAACAAACAGTAAATTTCATGTTATGAATAAACTCTGGCATGTGTTATCTTTAAAACTGTAGAGCGTAGACACGTTTTCGCGTGACTTGTAGTTTGTCCGATGTACAATGGTACCCTGCAGAATTTTGACTCTAGTTTGCGAAAATAGAGTTATGTTTATTTACCCATAGCAAAGTTTGTCGTGAAAGAATGTTCAGACAAAGACTCAAAAAAGATGCAAAAAAAATTTGCTAAATTTTAAATAACATGAGGTGTAGTTACGAAATCTAAAAATGTGCAAATTTATTTTGAATGGTTGTACGCAAATAATTTGCAAAAATTTCTTTTCAAAACTTTTGCAATCCGTTTCCTTGTTATAGACTTTCAAAAAAGCTTAAAATTATCAAAATATGAAAACTAAAAGTGGGTCAAAACAAAGATTTATTTTGTTACAGGAAAAAGTAGTCATTCAGGCAGTGTTTTAGACCTAAAGGAAAAAGTCAGCAAATTTCAACAGCCTGAGACCAATACTTGAGTAAAGAAACTACAGGAGGGAGTAAAGATGACCCCCCCCCCCCTGTAGAGTAGTAATAGGTTTTAGTACTTTTAAAGTAATTTCACAAATCAATGTCACAAATTATTTCCAAGATTTTCTTGTGACACCAGCTGCATCTTGCAGCGAAGAATTATAAAAAAATTATAAACTCATAAACATTAAATAATATCATGGGTTGTATGGCCAAAATTCTTTTTTCAAAGAATTAGAATCATGGTCAAAGTTACAGAATAGCCTGCAGGCAACAAGCTTTGATAATGTCATTTATAGATATTAATGTTGAATTTATGAAATAATTATTCCTGATTTTAATATTTATTTAGAAATAAGTATTTGTTGAACGCAACGATATTTATGCTTCACGTAAATTGTATACATTGTATTCTGATATCCTTTAAACTTTTCTCTTTGATAAATATAAATAACACCTTACTGAAGAGCTTTTGAGAAGTTTTGTATTTTTAATAATTAACCGAATATATATAAATATACAATGTAACAATGTTAAATCAGTGATGTCGCGAGAATGTTACCTTCACTTTGTGTCTAGGTTGCAGTGAAACGACTAAAATTTTGTCAAAAAATGCCCCTTTTAACTTTTTACTGCGCTGTGTTATAATACACATTAGTAATGTTTTTAAAAATCGAAAGCTTTGTTTATCTTTTATCTATCTATCTATCTATCTGAACTCAGTGTTGTTGGTTGGAGACTATGAAAAGTTATGGGCAAACTGGTATACTGGTACCAGGTATACTAATTCTAGGCTTTACCACCTTATCTATCTATCTATCTATCTATCTATCTATCTATCTATCTATCCTTATATATATATATCTACATATCTTTTTTTTCTTTCTATCTCTCTATCAATCTAACTATGTATCTATCTTTCCATCCATCTATCTTCTAATTTCTATTTTTTTTATTACGTTTTTGGAATTTCGAAAAGTTCCTCTGTTGATTTAAAAGTAAAATCTAAAGAAATATCTTATATCATTTATCTCTACTTTGTCAATACATAATCTGTATATCTATCTTTTTGATTCAATTTCAGAATCAAACTGTTTTAGTATTTTTATTCTTGATAATCAACGTTTATTGTAATGATAAATTAAACTAAAAAACTGTAATTTTATTATGTTTTTAGTATTGATTAGACGGTATAAAAGTTAGAATTATTAGCTTTCTACACTGCAGCAGCACTAGACTAAAAATAAACATCAAGACTTGTAAGAAAGTAAATTTGAGACAAACTTAAAATTACCTAATTTCTTTTTCAAAATGTTTCAGCAAATAGTTTGGAGAACTTAGTCTTATTAAAAAACATGCATTCGATTTTTAAATTAAAGGGTTACAACGTTACCATTTAAACCATTTTCTGATCAAGTATGTGAAGCATCTTGTATTTTTTAGGTTTTTTCTGATCAAGTATGTGAAACATATTGTATTTTTTAGGTTTTTTTCTGATCAAGTATGTGAAGCAATTTGTATTTTTATGTTTTTTTCTGATCAAGTATGTGAAGCAATTTGTATTTTTTATGTTTTTTTCTGATCAAGTATGTGAAGCATATTGTATTTTTTATGTTTTTTTCTGATCAAGTATGAGAATCATTTTGTATTTTTTATGTTTTTTTCTGATCAAGTAAGTGAAACATATTGTATTTTTTAGGTTTTTTCTGATCAAGTATGTGAAGCATATTGTATTTTCTAGGTTTTTTTTTCTGACAATTCTCTCCATTGTATATTAACCAGAAATACGTGTAAGTTGCTTTAAAATTGAAAGTTGAAAGAAAGAGAAGATATTACATTATTGATCAGACAAAGCTTTTATAAAGGGTACCGACATGCCACTTTAAAAAGGGTACAGACATCCCACTTTATAAAGGGTACCGGCATGCCACATTATAAAAGGAACCGACACGCCACTTTATAAAGAGTACCGACATCCCACTTTATAAAGGGTACCGAAATCCCACTTTATTAAGAATACAAACATCCCACTTTATAAAGGGTACCGACATCCCACTTTATAAAGGGTACCGATATCCCACTTTATAAAGGGTACCAACACACCACTTTATAAAGGGTACCGATATCCCACTTTATAAAGGGTACAGACATCCCACTCTATAAAGGGTACCAACATCCCACTTTATAAAGGTATTACTCGACTACGCGATTTTCCTAAAGAACTAATGATAAATAGATAAGTATCGTGCTGTATTTCTTCGGGCCTGACTGTAAGATCCTTTCCTCTCGTCTCTCTTCATAATGAATAAAACTCAGGGTAGCTTCAAGCTTTATTGATACACAGACCTTCAATCTTAAATAAAATAAAGCTTGGTAATACCACAGAAAAGCTTTGAGAGACATAATTTCATATTATTCATATAACAAAACAAAACAAAAATATCATCTCAGGCGTTAAAAACTGCAGTATTATACTAGAAAACATACATATGTAATCATACAATACATGGACAATGGGTTTAAGTATTTAAAAGGATATTTACCACTTTAGTCCTCGAATTCTTAGCACGATAACATTATAAATATAGGAATACAATCTTTACAACATTACAGAAAGAAAAAACTGAGCGGATACCCTGCGAGATTCCTACGCATGCATAGATAGGATAGTTCACCGGCAAAAAACTAGTATCATCTACCAGGATCATCATCTTGAAACAAGGGTGAATATTGGTAACAAAAGGGGTGCATTATAGACTTTAATAACAAAGCATGTGCTTGCGTAACAAAAGGGTACTGACATCCCAATTTATAAAGGGTACCAACATGCAACTTTATAAAGGGTACCGACATGCTATTTTATAAAGGGTACCAACATGCCACTTTATAAAAGGTACCAACATGCAACTTTATAAAGGGTATCGACACGCCAATTTTTAAAGGGTACCGACATCCCCCACTTTATAAAGGGTAACGACATGCCATTTTATAAAAGGTACCAACATGCCACTTTATAAAAGGTACCGAATGTCACTTTATTTAGGGTAACTACACGTGCCACTTTATAAAGGGTACCAACATCCCACTTTATTAAGGTTATCGACATATCACTTTATAAAAGGTACCGAATGCCACTTTATAAAAGGTACCGAATGTCACTTTATTTAGGGTACCGACATGCCACTTTATGAAGGGTACCGACATCCCACTTTACAAAGGGTACCTACATCCCACTTTAATAAGTATACCGACATACCACTTTATAAAGGGTACCGACATCCCACTTTATTAAGGTTACCGACATACCACTTAATAAAGGGTACGGACATCCTACTTTTGTTAAGGTTACCGACATACCACGTTATAAAAGGTACCGAATGCCACTTTATAAAGGGTATCGACATGCCATTTTATATTGGGTACCGACTTGCCACTTCAGCTGTGATAAAAATAATTTCTTTAAAAAGAATTTGTTAATAACCTGCCCTTGAGGTAGATGGCGTTTCGTGAGAAACATCAATTCTTCATACAGCTTTTAAATAATAATATACATTATACATTAACCCTATCCCTGCTGAAACCAGAATACGCTGGGGAGGGGGGGGTCAATTTGACTCCCCCCTCTAAATCCCATGTTTGATGTCCAAATATGACAAATGATGCATCATTGGAAAGCTCTTACGCTCTGCAAAAACAAATTGCAAATTTGCAAAAATTGATTTTTTGTTGCAAAATCCAGTTTTATAATAAAAATGTTTGCAAACAAAACAAAAAATTATAATATATACATTTTTATAAAGCACTTGATTATGGTATTTCAAA